CTAGAAGATTACTTAATATTCGCCACGGAATTTAAGCCCCATTCATTAGCATTCATTAGCAATCGTGAGTTTTCGTCAATTTTAGACTTCGCCAGAGCTACAGTGATGTCATCAGTGAAAGATTTTGGTCGACATTCCCGGGGCTCGTCCTCTACGGAAAAATGTTCGGTCTGGAATCTTCGAAACCAATTAGAAATAGTCTTTAAAGACGGTGCAATCGTTCCATATGTAATTTGCTATACACTGAACATTTGTATTGGCTGTAAATTACGCTGAAAAGCCGAGGAAAATCACATGAGGAATTTCCGGTCGCGTTTGTGGTGGAATTTCGTCTGAACTATCATCAGCTTTTTTGCGTTTTCTCTTCTCCATTTTAACCGAACTTTCTTAAATTTGAAAGTAATACTAATAATGTGAATGCAAAGGCTTTGGTAGCTTAAACTTTAACAAAAACAAATTGAAAATCACTAACAGACGGAACTTTTGTTAATTCCCTCGTATAACCCAAAATCTCAAATCAGAAAAATCGGTCGTTTGTATGCTATAGTGATCCGATCTGGCGGGTTCCACTTTCGCATGAATGATTTTGCCTCGTTTTACCAGTTCACCGTACACCACACCCGTCTGGACCTACCATATGCAGAGCATGACCATTGAACCGGGGACATGTTTTTTGGTGCCATTGTGAATGATGGGGAACTTTGCAAAGCACTTTTTCTTCTTAGGGTTATCGTAATAAAGTATATCAAAAATCCTTTCCTTTGACGTCTTTCAAAAAGCAGTACCTGGAGGGAAAATCATTTCTTCGTCATAAATGAGGTCATTAACCCCGGAACCATAGATACAAATAATAAATAATATTTTCCCTAAAGCATGGATCTCGAAAAATCATTATGGCATTAAAATGAAATTTGATTGATGCATTGAATTTTCTATGCGATTAACAGCTGCAACTTATCACTGCTGCACGTATACATATATATATGCATATGTACATGTCAGCGTGGTAAATGCTTATAATGGCATTCATTTGTAGATCATTAACCTCAAGCAAAATTACAAAATAAGGCACAATTTCGTTAATATCATTGTATCATGATTTAAAAATATGAAATTACTTCAGATACATATATAATATGGTTAAAGGTTCATACAGCTACAATGAACCTTTGCTTTGAAAAATTTCATTGCAGCAAAAATTAGAGCGCAAATTTCCAAGTAGCGCTCAAAGGCTAGAAAATTTTTTAATGAATCTTATTAAAAATCGCTTTGCAGCATGATTTTTTTTCTTAATTTTTTACAGTAAACCTCAATATTAATTAGTTATCGTCTTTATTATAATTTTAGTCATTTTATTTATTATCATTTATATACTTTTTTCAGTTCACAGATTTTTTCCCGATACTTCATCAGACAGCTCAAATGTGTACCAATTATTTTGGTTTATATAACTCAAAAACTGAGGGACTAGTTTGCATACAAATAAACGATCAGACATACAGACGACAACAGGATATGGCTTCATCAACACAGCTTGTCGTTCTGATACGATTGGGTTTGATGGGTCTTTCTCTCTTCATTCTGATACTTACATACTTCGGATGAAAGCATAGCTTCCAGTTTGGTGGATGAGTAGCAGCTGCTGTAAGATTTTAGCCTCAGCCTCATGTTCGATATGCTTAAACCACTTGGTGTTCTCAATTAAACTACTTATACATAATACAGGGTTTGATACCTCAGAGTTACCAAGTGTATTTACTACGTTGAAATTATAAGTGAGCTGGATATTCACAGATTTTCTTATTCTTTTGTAGTTCGCAACTGCGGAAATGGCTATTTTAGATATATGGTCCCTGCAAGGCCAATTTACTGTGTATATATGTATATTCTTCCCACATCTACATACTTAGTAGATCCTTAGTGTTTAAACAGTTGTATTTAAAATTTACTTCGTTATTTCACATTTAGATAAGAATTTTTTTCTATTATGAGCTATTTGTTCAAATTGTATTTGGAGATCGTTCTCAGTGGAGACAAAGAGCTAACTTCTTTACGGATTCGTCAAGATATGCTCCCGACATGGCCAATTCGTCAACTTTAGCGTTATGGAAAATATTTGTACAGTACAGCAAATTATGAAGTGTCAAGTTGTCCTGCCAGAAAGACCTGGGACTTTCCTACAGTTGTTCAGTCTCCTATATTGGCGTAGATACGCCCAACAGAACTATAATCGACTTAAGAACGGCGTGTCTTTAGTTTCTTTTTTTTTAGATATTCAGGGCACATAGAAAACATAAAGTGAAGCCACAGTCACTGAAGAGTTTTTTCCACTTGATCCTTCCACTGGATCAGAGCTCTTCCTATTCTTTTTATTCCGCCGACGGGTATCGCATCTCATCCAAACGAACGTCATAACAAAGCCTGTTTGGCTGCTGTGTCTAAATGTACATGTCGTCGTAAATCTCGTACAGCTCATCGTTACATCGTCTACGGTATTTGCCCCGTGGCAATTTACAAAGATTCATACATATAAATAGCCTTGGCCAAAAGTATTAGGCATCCCACTAATGAAGTTTTTTTTTCTCACGAAAACTTCAAACGTCGACTCATCACCTCATATGGTAGGACGAAAAAAATGAGCACTTTATAGAGACTTTGTTCGCCGAAAGTGTTTGGTCCTTGCCCACCCAGTTTAAAGCAGAATCTTCGACCGAAAGTGGGTGATCCAGCGTTCGATTTCGAGATTGGCATCATGTTTGTATGGAAGTGTTGATTTTAAAATAGAAGAAATTATCTATCAAATTAGTTAGAACTGTAAACAGTGATGTGGTTGCGGAATCGCGAATGCCATGACTGTTTGTTTATTGGCAGAATATATTCCGTCTTGTCCTCGTTCGCTAGCTGACCCATACGCTTCGCTTCCTTATAACTACAATCTGGAGAAAGCTGAACTAATCTCAAATTGTGGACGATGCTGGAATGGCTGGCTTAGTTTCGTGAGAGCAAAGAAAGGGAGGTGTAAAAGTTCTCCGAGTTTTTCGGCTCACTGAGATTAGATTTAGTTTCTCGATCCAAACTATGTTTGAAGGAGAAAATTCATCAACTGAGTCAATGCACAAGGAGAAAGAAATAGGTTAGCCGTGTTCATGTAACTTGAAGCTACCGAGATTAAAAAAATTCAAACAAAATTTGTGACATCACAAAAAAAGTAGCCTTCAAATCCCGACCTATGCTAAAGAATTAATCGGTTTCTTCCATTCAAATCGATCAAAGCAAAATGGATATTTTGAGACAAATAATCGGATGTTTATTTCAATTTAAAGAGGTCACCCCGACTACGCCTACAGGACTGCATCCTTTTTATGAAATATGCCGTTACCAAATCGCAAATTGACTCCTGCACATTCTCTATGGTTTCACGAATTTCATCTTTAAGGTCTTGAATAGACATTGGTCTGTGGGCGTAGACCATAACCTTTACGTGCCCCAAAAGGGAGAGCTCCAAGGTGTTAAATCACAAGATATCGGTGGCTATTTGCGACAACCACTTCCAGAGTGAACACGATACGGAAACTTTTTCCCTAAAAAAAAAGATGGAGGACTTCGTTGCTTGGGTGGCACGTCTTGTTTGAAAGTAAACGTGGTCCAAATCAATACCATCCAATTCTGGTCATAAAAAAGCATTAATCATCCCTCGATATCGCAATCCATTCATCGTAACCCCGTAACTCCAGCCTCATTTCCAAAAAAGTAAGGTCCAATGAACGCGCCGGAACATAAACCGCACCGTTACACAGTTAAACGTTGAGGATAAAGAGCCTTGACTTTTCTGAGCACCAGATGTGACATTTTTGCGTATTGAAGTTGCCATCGAAATGGAAATGAGCCAAATCAGTCAAGATGATTTTTCGATGAAATTCCGCATAATTTTCATGCATTTCTAGGACCCAATCAGCGAAGACACGATGCTTTTGACTTGGGTTTGCGTGCATGTTTTAACAGAATTTTATAAGCCTTAAACCCAAGTCTTATGCAAGATACGGTTTAATGACGTTTGTGGAATGCCAAATTCCAAAGAACGACGACGAATGGACAAACTTGGGATTCCTTCAACACTTTGGGTTACAGCAGCAATATTCTCAGTTGTTCTTGAGCGACGTGCACGTGTTTTATTCTTCACATCAATTACTCGTCCCAACATCTCCATTTTTTACACTAATTTCTGTATTGGGTGCGGTGCTTCACGACGACTAAAAAATGTTTTAGTTTTACGTACTGTCTCTGCCATTGATTGACCATTTTATATCATTCCATTTTTCCAAAAGTCAAAAAATTACAGCTTTAACAGTAACATTTACCGGAATCTCAGGCTATTGAGAGTAACATCTCTAACTGTAAAACCCTTTATGTTATATATTTCGCATTAAAGTGCCACTTAACATAAGTAAATATGTATATATGTATAAGTATGTAAACTCAAGAGAATGCCAGCACTGGTTGTGCTAAAAATATTTATGTACCTTTTGCAGGTCTCGGTGTTTAGGATAAATATGTATGAATGCACATACAAATTACTTAACTACCTGTTGCATTGAAGCATTTCGGAACTAATATTACCCTGAGTTGTGTCCTACAGACAGACGCAGAAACAAACAAAAAAATACTCTCTCGTTACAACACACTTTTCTTTCAACGCTCCCGTACCTTTTTCTAGCCGCAATCCACTAAAATTTGATTTACTTCTATTTTTGTGCACAAAACTCACTTTCATGCGCAGCGATGCACAAATTATTGTTGCGCATGCGCACACCCACAAACACACACTAAAGCAGCTGTGCCAATATATGCACAGTTTAAATCTTTAACGTCGCTGCACTTGCTGATGAGCTGGCGCCGCTTAAATGCGGAAATTACACGCTTGCATTTCGCGCTTCTTTGATTTTGCTCTTGAAAAATGCTACATAAAACCATGCGTGCAGTGTCGTCAAATTTTAGTCACGTTTCGCCACTGTTTGACACGCACGCAAGCGCGCAAGCCGGAATTTCGTTGAAATCAGTTTGAATTCGTATTTTGTTTTGTGTCTTTTGCCGCTTGCAATGTCATTCGATAATTGGCGCCTCCTTGCGCTTTTTGCTTGCGTTGTGCTGCCTCAGCTCTGTCTCGGTGCAGTTTTCGCTTATGATGTCGATCGCAATAATAGTTTGAATGAAGTTGTTGAACGACCTACAGGTTGGTTGCAAGCCGCGCAGGATATGATCGCCAGTCCTGCTGGGCATGTGGTGACGCAAGTGGCCAAGGAGTTAATTAATCGTTCGACGGGCAATAGTCAAGTAGGTGGGAAATGTTGTGGTGCATTCAAAAATGTGATAATGAAAAAGCAAAAAGTTCCAAGGACTACAAGAATCTTTGCAAAAGTGTTGAATAAAATTTCTAAGCCTGACAATATAATTTTTATTGTTATTTATAGCTTCATGAAATTAAGTTACAAAACAAACAAATTTGGTGTAGTGAAAAGCAAACTCTGTGAAGTAAAAGATATTTTCAGTAGGGCTATGTTGGAGGTATTATTTTGAATAGCCTGCTAAAAATGGAACGATATAACGTTTCAACAACGCGTTGAAATTATTGAAATTCACTATAAAAATTTCATCGAAAAATCATCTTGACTGATGGGCGCATTTCCACCTCGATGGCTGTGTCGCTAAGCAAAATTGCCGCATCTGGGGCTCGGAGAACATAAGATTTATGTCGGAAAGCCTTTCAATTCTCAATATGTAACTGTTCGGTACGGCTCATGGGTCGGTCTTAAAAATGAGTCTGGAGTTGTGGGATTACGATGAATGGATTGAGCTTTCGAGAGATGGTTAATGATTTTTTTGGCCGGAATCGGATGGTATTGATCTGGAAAACGTTTACTTTGAACAAGGCTACCAGCGATCTCTCTTTGAATATCAAAGTAACACCTCGTTTTGAAAACCCTTTACATCCGAATTATTTGCGAGATATCGCACAATATCGTTACATTTCGATCTCACATGCAAATATTTACCCGTATTTGGACAGAGAAAAAGGTACACAAGGAGATGGCAGACCAAATTGACCAATCGATGACGATGGAACAGATATTTCAATGCCCGACTATGAAGAGGTTCAAATATCAATTTTCGCATGAAAAAGAGCAAATCGGAAGGGTTGATGGATGGTCCGCCTAGCTATTCAAATACATCGGCGAAGAACTGACAAAGATTCCCTCAACACTTGCCAACTTTGGACTGATTAGGCAATTGAAAAGTAATGTCCTCTCTCGACGAAAAAAAATCAAACTATACAAATAACTCATTATTCTCGTCCTGCTATTTATATGGTGCTGAGTTATTTCTTTTAAAATTAAAAAAATACCACGCTCATATGTCGAATGAACTCCTTTTCCACCACTACTTTGGAACACGAACTATTTCCAATGACCACTTTCAACTATGTTCGTCATTTACCTAATGCAGAAGTCATTTGTATATCTGAGAAGATACACAGGGCCAGGTACTCAGTTCAAGGAAGCAAGCATCGCTCTCATATATTAAGTGTGAATTAATCTGCCTATCTGTTCCAAACGAAAATCTGAGTCATGTACTTGGGTATTTTCCAGACTAAAACAAAGTTGGAATGACAAGAACAGAAATCTTCTCTGAACTAGAAGCGACTGCATGTTGAATTTTGAAGTAATTTTTTAGGAATCAACTGACTGAACTAGAGAGCCAGTGCGGAATCTGTAGAAATATAAAAGACGAGGAGAGGGCTTATCATTTTTTATTTATTTTTTATTAATATTAATTTTTTATTTTTAGTTAATATTTAAGTTTTTTTATTTTTTAGGTACTCAGTCTGAATCTCACAAATCTACTAATAATTATTCTACTTAAAATATTAATATTTGCCGCTGGTATGTTGGGTGCTGGGCATTGGAGTGGATATGGATATGGTTATGGGCATGCAAGAAGTGCAGCAGGTAAGAAAAAAATTGCGCGCCTAATTGTAGGCATTACTAATTAGCTTGATAAAAGCTGAAAATTTTAGTCTATAATTAAGCGGAATTGGCTTTCAGTATATAAAATATTGTACGCACAATATAAAAAAATAAAAACTTTAATTACGCTTTTACAGACCTTAATTTCGGCTTAAGTGAAGGCGAAGATTACCTTATCACCGGCTTCTTAGCAGCACAAGGTATTGGTTTAGATGATTGTCTACATGCAGCGGCATGCGCTAGCCCAAATGTAGCCTATGAATATGCGAAGGCAGCGAAGGCGCTTATTGAGGGCATCGAAAAGTATGAGGGGTAAGTTAGCAATTGGATAAATATTTTCCACTGAGTAAAACCATTTATACTTTTAGAAGAAAATACTTATCACCATATATATATATATATATATATATATATATATATATATATAATTTTACGCTTTATCTTTGCAGCAATACCTTTAATAATCCACGCTACAATGATCTTATCGTGCTGTTGGAGAAGGCGGCTTACGATGGTTATCGTGGCTTACCCTGTAACAGATCATCAAAATGCGATGGCATTGTATGAGTGAAAATATCGCATGACTTTTATAGCACATGATATCGCTTCACATCACATCACCTCAAATCATATCACATCACGTCACATCACCTGATATTTACCATTACATTAAATATGGAAAACATTCTTTAAAACAAATTTATTTAATATGTATTTTTTTATTGCATTGTAGTTTGATAATCAATAAGTAAATTAGTATTTTTTATACATTTATTTATATCAATATTTACTCGTATTATACTAGTATTATTTTTATATAAAAAATGTTTATCGCGTGGTAGTTATTTACAGTCTTAATAAGTTGCTTTTCATTATGATTACAATAATAATGGTAATAAAATTGATTTTGAATAATAAATTATTATTATTTATAAAAAAAAAAACTCGTGTTCGGAATATCGTATGTAATAAATTTGCAAGAGGTGTTTTTGAATAAAAATTATATTTAGTTCGTACACCTATCAATACTAGATTCTAGTGCTAATTTTTATATTTGCTATTTGTGGTTTTCTGATATTTATTATTATTATTATTTTTTTTTTTTTTGGCAAAAACCGGAGCATTTACTTGCTTTCAAAAGTTGAGCTAATTTTCCTAAAACTATTATTTAACTACTCTTCACCTTTCCTCTCTGGTTATCATTGAACTCTTATTAAGCACCTTATGCTCCCTCTGGAGCACCAGTAACAGCTTTCACATATTCTGGATAATGTAGGAAGCCATCCTTATTAGCATCCGCAATTTGCAGGAACTCATCAATAACCTCTGCAATTTGTGAAATCTATTGCTCTAATGTTAAAATTTCAAAATTCCTTTAATGTATTCCACTTACCAATGATGTGAGTTAATTCTTCGCTGGCATTGTGCAAAAAGTTATCGCGATCGACTTTTTTGAAATGCTCATCTTGATGTATGGCTGCTTGCAGCATCTCCAGTCCATCGAGTGCATTGTTATTGTCGCTGTCGTGTATCTGTAAAGAGGGTTGGGTTAAATTAGAGTTTTGTAGGAAATTGGCTTAAAATTATAGTTTTAAAACCCCAATTTTACTAAAGGAAATTAAGCAAAAAAAAAACATGATGGAACCATTGCACTCAGCAGGCATTTTGAGCGTAGATTAAAGCTGGAACAATATAAAGATTCTTCGATCTCTGTCTCTGAAAAATTTTCTAGAGATTTTTCTTGTCGAGACTGAGCTAACCCCAACAAAGTGAGTCTTCGTTACAATACTTTTTCAAAATTTTTGTCGATCTGGGTAGGTAACCTTGGGCACAACAAGCACTAGATGCATCATTTTGCTGCACTATCATAATGCATTCATATAAATCCTTATGCATTTTGTGGACAGCCGTTTAAAGTGGTGATTCAGCTGGGCTTTCAGAGAGAAAGTCAAAAACGGTTTTTTTATAATCCTCCAGTTTGCAGTTGCGGCAACCCCTTTTTCAGTGCATGCTCTCATTGTACTATATAACGGACCTTAATCCTTAGGCGGCTCAATAGACCAGTGGTTACCAATGCATGCAGGTTAGAGTCCTGGTACAGCCCCCATTGCATCTCGACAAGAAATGTCAAGCCTTTCGAGTATGTTTCTGACATGAAGACCAAGGCTTCTCATAAAAATCCATCGGTCATTCGGAGGCGGCTTACAATAAGCTGTAGGCCCGTCCATTTGTGGGAAACACATTAAGACGCATACCACCAATCGGAAGAAGAGTTCGACCAAAAATTTTCTTCTGTCTTACTGGAACGACTCTGCTTGGTTATCTTATATATGTATATTGTATGTGCAGCTCTCCTCTAATCATTCTCAGACGGCTTGACCATCACTTGGACTTTCTCGTTAACAGAATATTCATATCGCCAGAAACCCAGTTTATGGTTAAGTCTAGTTAAAGTGAGCTCAAAGCCTTCTTGCAATTGCTGGAATTTAACATTGGCGATGATAGAGCCAGCAAATGTCCCACGGCATTCATTGTTTTCTGTTTCCTCTTGTTTATATTAATAAAGCTCCATAGACCTTTTCTATACCTGTTTCTTCCGCTTGAAAGATGCTAACTGAGTTTTATAAACGTATTCAAAGGGTGGTGTCAAGTTCTTGGATTATACCGTCTACTCCATTCCGCATTCCATTTTGGATTCGTCGTTATAGTTTGAGTTGTAGTACTTCTCCCTTACTAGACTTGTCCAGTTTAAACCTTAGAGGGTTATAATCTGATTTATTGATGATGCTGGGGGCTGGTTGAAGATAACACTGATTTAGTTCCAACCAACTCATGTTGTAACTTTCCAAATTAAAACATCTTTAGGCAACTGTTGAGGGAGCATGTTAAGCACATCAGTCGGTAATGACTTGCTAACGCCTATAAGCCTCACATAGACTACTCTTCGTGTTATTACTTGGACTAACTACGCCCATGTACAACCATATGTCTGTATTTCGGTTTAAGGTCCCAGTACCAGCTAAGTATGCTCTTGGGAAGTAAGCTTTCTTTAATCGTTTTTCAATCTTTATATATTAATTCGTTGAAATATCGCTCTCGTACTTATGTATTGAGAAAAAATGAAAAATAATCGGTAGACCAAAATGGAAACGCCCTTGCTAAACGGTCTGAATATTTCACCGAACACTAAGCTGCAACTTTCTATAAGAAATTTTTAAAAATATTTATGCAAATATTAACCTTAAAATAGTAAAAATTCTTCTCCTCCTCGGACATGTCCTCCAAGTTTACATTGATGCCCATATCCTTAAGGTCGTCATCGATGCGGCTGAAAAGAAAGTGAAATTTTTCGAAAATATATTAATTTAAATGCACAATTAAATGCTGGCTGCTCAACTTACTGCTCTTCATGCGTCAAATGCTGATCCACTTTACGCGTTTTCGATTGCTCACTACGCGGATGATGAGGACCGCGCTTCATAGCTATACAAGGGTCCATCGTCTGACTGAATGTGGCCACACATATTATAAAATTAACAATATTCAACATTTTACACATCTTTCACGCAAATACCGTTGTTAACTTTCGTTGTTAATATAATAATTAGCACTTAACGGTCAATTTCAGTGAAATGAGAGAAAACTTTCACTTCCGAAACAGTAAGAGGTGAAAGTGGAAAATTTGCAGGTGTGTTTTTCGCTACTCGTAAAATCAATAAAGCATTCAAAGTGCCGTGCCCCAGACTGCGCATGACACGCAAATCGGTTTGACAGTGCTGGCAGTGTCAACACACGCCCACAAGCAGCGGAGTTTGACAGTTGCGAGATATCAAGCAGTCAGCTGCTGTACCGTTAACTGATTGAGAGTGGTACATTGATGCAGCACATCACTGTTGCTCATTTTACTTACTCTTTCACTTATCTTTAGCTTTGCCGTACTTAAGTTTCTGTTTGCTTTCCAAACTTTTCGAACTTTTTCCATTTCGTTGCTGCAGCAACAAACGGTTGTTTTGTCAATGGCATTATTTTTTTCAATACTTTTTCACACGCGCAAGAAAATTCTACAAATTCCGAAGCAAAAAGGCAAAACTATTTTTATATTATTTCAATTTTTACGCGTTTATTATTTGAAAGAAAAAAATTATAAAATTCACTCGCTATCGCCGCTTTCAACGCATCACATTTTCGCTTCATTTTTGCTATAGAATAATTGGTGAAGCAATAAAAAAAAGCAATAATTTTATGCGAAAATGTGTGAGCACTATTGTGACGATTTGGAAACCTTCAATCCCGAAATTGAATACCAAAAGTTCTTAAAACGTAAGCCCATCGTACAGACGGCAAAGTTGTATGAGCAGTTGCATACGCGCGAGAAGATTAAGTGTCCTTGTGAGTATCGAATGTGGCGGTGATTATGGTCTCTCCTAACCTTACTATCCTCCTTTATCCTTTAGACAACTTCAAGGGCTATGGCGTTGAGACGGATAAGAACACTATGTATCGCACGTGCAATTCCGAGTATGGCTACTATGCTCCAAATGCCTACACGATACCCACCCGTTACTTTCCGTTGTCGCAGAAATTTTCAAATGAACTTCATCGCTGCGGCATGTATCGCAATTTCTCGCTTAACACGCTTATGGATCGTGCTTATTTTTAAGTGGAGTCATATACCTACATACAAATGTGTTCTACAGAACGCGGCGGGTTTTATATTCATGAAATTGACATATTTAACTATTTCATTTCGAGATATCTGTACTGTATAATTACTTCATCTATGATTGTCAGTGCACCATAATAAATGCACTATTCAAACTAAATAAATTAATGCGTTCCAGCACCGGCTATAAAAGGAACTTGAAAAAAGAGAAGTCTTCATTACATATACTCGGTTGTACCATATACATAGGTTTATATAACTAGAGATATAGAAATTTTCCGATTTTCAGAAGACCAGGGTTACAGTCCTGATCCGACCAAAATGCAAATTTAAAGAATTTTTTTTTTCTCCTAAGAGCGGTCGCCCCCCGGCAGGAAATGGCAAACCCAACGTGCTTCTCACATTAAATAAAAGATCTTCATAAAAATCCACCTGACGTTCAGTGGCGGCTTAGAATAAACAGTAGGTCCATCCATTTGTTGGAAAAACATCAAGACGGCGAGGTAATCGACCAATAATCGCTTCAGCAGCTGCAAAGTGCTAACCAATTTAAATATCATATTTCAAGGAATGACAGCATCAAATTAGCTTTCGTCCAAGTTCACGCCCATCACCCTTATAATGGTAATTTTGAATAGGACGGATCTCGCTATTTAGTAGCTAAATGTGTGAATGCAATAAACCTTAATGCTCATCCTAAAATGAACCTCACATGTAATAGAGCTTCTATTTTTGACTGATTTGTGTATCAAATGTATCTAATTTTTGGTATCGCCCGAATTAAGTCTTTCAATTCTGCTTTTCACATATAATATATTTATACATAAGGAGTATAAACAAATTCGGTCCGGATTTTTGTGTTAAAAAAAAAAATATTTTTTATTAGAAAAAGTGAAAAATGCATCATTTTTCGTTGGAAGCGATTACTTTTTTCCCATCTTTCTGGTAATTTTCGAATAACATCCCTAAAAATGTTGCTACACTGTCTTCGGTCCGATCATTATACAATTATTCGATTACTTCAAAAAACCCGAAATGGGTTTCAGATACCGATTCGTATTCTTTGAGAAAGCCAATAGTCGGAAGAAGCAATATTTGGACAGTACGGTGGCTGGTGTAAGACAACCTTTTCAGTGTTTCCAGGTAGTTTTTAGCATAACAGCCACATGGAGCCGATCCTTGTCAGGTTTCGAATTCACCTTTTCATGCCTTTCGGTTAGTTCTGACCATTTTTCACGCAATTCACTCAGACGCTAGCGTTTCGTATCATTGCTTTCGCCCGATTTAAAGGGATCTTGATCCAGTGCAGCCTCCAATTCATCGTCTTCAAAATTTTTGATTCGACTAGAATGCTTTTTGTTTCCGAGGCTAAAATCACCACTTTTGAAGTATTGAAACCACTCTCTGCATGACTTTTCGGTCGGCGCAAATTCACCATAAACTTTCGCAAGCATTCAATGGGTTTCAGCTGCACTCTTCTTTAAGTTATAAAAGAAAATGAAAGCATCCACCAAAATATATTTTTAGTTAACACAAATCTGGACATCTTGAGAGAGTGATCATCATCATTGTTGCCAGTAGTTAAACATCTCCAATGACAGAGGCATTTGCTTAAACGTTCGGCCACAACTTGCAGGTGGAGCCATCTTGTGAGAACGGACCCACATAAATTAAAAAGGGTTGTATAATTCTCAGAAGCAGAAGTGGTGTCACATTTTGGATAAAATAAATTCATTTGTAAACATCTGTTATGGCTTCTCATTTAAGAGTTGGCTTAAAATATAAAATGTATTTAATATATTGATGTACCTCCCCTCAGTGGGATGTGCTCGACAATTAGGGAACGAAGTTAGATACCTATGAGAGTTTCTCAAAAGAGAGCAGTTACGTTAAGGAGTAAGTGTAGGTGCCAACAGAAAGCAACGACTTCATCGCGGAGCCTATAGGCTACTGTGTCCTAACAAATAATTCGCCAGCTTTATTATATTTAGGGTGGATTGGTATAGTTGAGGTTCCTCAAGGAGGAGTGAATTCCTATACGGATAGTTCGAGGTTGGGTCGTAGAATGAATAGAGGAATTTTCTAAAAGAAACTCAAAATCGATTCCGTGTTCAGGCTTCTTAATTAATTCTTCTAACATTTTTCAAGCGTAAGTGCTTGCATTACATTTATTCTGACCGCCTGGTGGTTAGACTGGCCTCGGTTGCACTCATGATGAGATCCTGGAACGTTATGATACGCTCAACAGCCTTTTTTATACCGTCGATGTACAGCAAAATTTATGTGCACGAGGCAAAGAACACCCTTGAGTTGAATTCGTCAGGCAGAATGTTAAGTTTTTTTTGGTCATCTGTGATCTCCTGGACAGAGCTAATATCTGCTCGACGAGTGCGTAGTTAGTACCATGACGTACGTAATAGAATAAATCGGAGAATCTTTGAACAATCACACAGGCATGCTTGTGTCTTTTAGAGAGAGATCTGACAGAAATATCCAGCGTAGTACTGATTGTAAAAGATATAAGAACTATGAGGTGGAATCATCGCGGCACTCTCCCTTAAATTACTTACCTTTTGGCTAACTAAGGCCCTAACACTTTGGCTATCTTACTTTTGTCAAACCTAATAAGATAAAAGTTATAAAAGTATGCCGCCGTTCGCCACGGTTTCTTGGGTTTTCCGAGTTATAGGTCATTACTGAAGGCTTCTGAGACTGACAAAGGAAAGCCGAGGGCATCGGAAAAGTTTTGAATTCCTAGACCATAGTTTCAAATAAACAAAGCCTCAGCTATGGACACCGATAAGATCAGCCATTAGTAAGTCAATATCTCCAAGCTCCCCTGAAAAATATAGTACCGTAAAATATTTCCAAACCCATCGATCAGGGATGGTTAGGCATTTTTTTGCGTCGGGAATTCTACATTGGCACAACTAGTTGTTCAGAAAACCATCAATAAAATACGCCACCTAACGTGATACCCCTGGAGCGTATTAAACTATCTTCAATTTCCAGTTTTGTAACCGCTGAGGGCAAAAAATGGAGGGACCTAAAGTTTATTCTAGCCGCCTCCGATCTCCCGTTGGATTTTTATGAAGAGCTTTTATTTCACCTCGAAGCACCTGGCATTTCCTGCCGCGGCCGTTAGTAGAAATATTTATTTTCTATAATTTTCGGTCTCACCCAGACTTGAACGCTGACCTTCCGAAAAGCAGTACGCAATACTAAATACGTCCGCTTTTGTTTCTTCAGCCTTTTAAGGTGAATGAATACCCCTAATGGAATCAACTCAGCTTAAACTTTTGCTGTCATTCCTCCGACTGATATTTTACTTAAAACATGACACAATATATGCATATGTACAATTTTTTTTTTATTCGGATCATGTGTGAAAGTCACTCCAAAAATAAAGTAATGAAATGCAAAGAATATACAATAATAATAACAAGAATTGATGATAAAAATTCAAATTTCCTAGAAACGTTCCCTGGTAAAAAAAAACCATAGACGAAAGAAACCCAAAACACGATTACTACGCAAGTTTATACGCTATTTTTGCAGAACATATAGTACACAAAAACAACATGAGGTAAGTACAATTGACTATTTTCAAAAACACCAACGAAAACTGATAAGCCGCAATCAAAGTCAAACCAAAAGTAACTGCTTCCCCCAATGACACCAACCAAGCCACACTTTCATTAACAATCCATTTTATGCCATACAGCGAGGCGAAACGTTTGCTGAACTCACTTTTGTGGGACATTTACGGTAGACAACGGCGAGAACAACACAAGCGCACCAGACGCTTCGACAAGTATAGCGGTAAATTTCGCAAAGACGATCCCGATATGTACGACTACGGCACACTGAAGTTTGCGAACAGTGCAAGAGATTTGGAAAATTTTAGTATACGCCGACTAATTGATATTTCGGCGATTTTGAAAGTTGAAATAAGTTTGATGGGTCGCTTCTTGGAACGTGTGCTGATCTCACGTGAACGCAATCGAAGGCATCAAGACACTTTATGCGGTTATGTCGACGCTTTGCTCTATTTGCAATATCGTGAGTTGATTTCAGAAACAAATTCTAATAATTAGTAAAAAATTTGTTATTAATTATCATGCATTATTTAAACTATAAGTATGTTTAAATTCAGAGTTGAGAATTTACTTTTTTTTTGGACCGATCCCTTAGAAGTGTGGTGATCATAGTGTTTCACATTGCTCTTATTTTAAAATGTGCTGAAAGTATTATTTAACAATTTTTCTTACAAAGAGAATTGATACTGCTTCCGGAAGCTGTGGCGTTAACTATAAGGTTATCCATTTCGTGGTTTGAAAAGTACAATGCTGGATTTTGACATCTGTAAAACTTAATTGTGAAATCAAACATGTTTTTCTTTAGCTAAAAGTCAGGCATTTATGAAAATGTGCCACTTAAGAACCGCATTGTGCCAAAACTGTTAAATACTTCTACAAAACCGTGGTTAAAGTTTGCTTATTTATGGATCCCTCGAGTGATAAATGTGGCCCGTCGCGGAATACAATTTTTTCGAAAAATCGCCCTTTACTGCTTGCTGTTCAAATACCCAAATGGCGTTATGAATGATCAGCTGGCTTTAGTTATTGAGTGAGCTAGATGGATGTTGATATAAGTCCAAGGCAAAATACGCCATAATTTGCGGGTCTTCGGCTACACTTTTACTTACAGTATCGATATTTGAGGTGGAACCAGCAAAACAATGAGGCACAGGCCTTAAAATACCTGTAATCGAGCCAGCCGCTTCAAATTTCTTTGAAATTTTACCAAATGCTTGAGTCGTTGGATGATCATGTTCACCATGTACTCTTCCAAGAGACGGTAATTCAAGCAACCGTGGATCGGTTTCGTACCAGGCTTACTTTAGTGGACATTATGCATCTACAGTGCCCACTGAAGGCTGTATTTGGAGTGGAGCACTGAAGAGGACCTCAATGAGCTCATCCGCAATCGCGCGTAACAATTTATAGAAGAATCTTGTAGAAGCATTTCGGTTTGTGGGCTTACAAATTTCAACTCGTGTAAGAATTGAACCCGGAAGATCGTCAAGTGCGTCGCACGTTCGGTGAGTGGATCCAAAATGATCTTCACACCAAAATTTTGTTCAGCGATGAATCTCAATTCTGGTGAAAAACAAATGGTCGCAATTTGGAGTGGCGATAGTCAACAAGCCATTGCAGAGATGCCGTTTCAATCTCAAGAGATCACTGTTTGGTGTGATCTATACGCAGAAGGGATTAATGGTTCATATTTCTGCAAAAAAGAAGCCGGCAAACATTTTACAATAATTGGTGGACGCTGGGTCGAATTGGCGAACGTAGATGTGCATAGCTTTCGGATTCAATAAGACTGCTCTACATGACTTGCAGACAACGAAATAATCAATTCCTTGAAGAAAACTTTTAGTGAAATGGCAAAATGGCATAGGCTTCATGGATCACGCGACTTAGCATTGCTTTGCCGGAGTAGGTTTTGTGAGGTTATGTGAAGTCGCTTGGCCGAGCAAATTAACCTAAAGCGATTAACATCTTGGAAGAGAATATTCGACGCGCTATTGCTAATACACGGCTTCAACAGCTGCAAAATGTTGTCGGCTGGAAGTTATTCGAGCCGACCGCGCCGATCTCTTGCCTGAGCTCATTTTCAAAACACAATGGTCAACCCTTATATCTATAGATTATATAAATAATTGGCGCTTTGCAACCGCTGAGGCGATTTTCGGCCAACTTACAATTTTGCGTCTTGATGTCTTACCAACAAATTGAGGGACCTACAGCTTGTACTAAGCTACCCCCGAACGGCTAGATTGAAGAGTTGATATTCACTGCCGAGGGATCAACTTAATTTTTTTATTTTAAATTAAAATTCTATAACTTTTGGATGATGATCGTAGCAGTATTTGAACTCGGGCCTTCCGAATGGCACTACGCAATGCTAACCAGTCGTCTACCGCGACCGGCGGTAATACTGTGACTCTGTTATAGTGTGGCTTTCTGTTATTGTAAGTGTAATAATATAAAATCTTCAGCCAGTAAATAAATTTGAGAGGTTCATGTTAGCTTAGGTTGTACAGGCTGAACCTTCGCGTCTCTAATACACGATATTGTGGCGCGGACACACCACATGCGACCAAGCTGCACTGTGTCTCCAGTATGAAGATCGATGTTTTTTTTTTTTTTCAAATTGATGTGGTCCTTTTGGCTCATTGCCCATTATCTATTGAAGGACTAAAGCAGAGGACATTATAAAATTTTTCCATGAGCTCATTTCACTAAAAAAAATTTCGGAGAAACCTATAGTTTATTTGAATAATTTTGTACCCTAAAAACTTCGGCCAAAAATAACACTCGTCGAAATTTGAATTATATGTAACGAACAACCTTGGCCTCTTGGTTTCGGATTAAAAATGCTTGAATCCAACCTAACTGCCCCACCGTACCAACTGTCAAATATCAAATATCGCACTAAAACTGCGCAAACTCCGCAACTGTCATTCATCGAATTCAATGTCAAAGCATTCACTATAGGAATTTCGACTTCACGCAGAACCGTTCAGTTACTTCGAACGTCTGCTACCATCAACTTGTCTTGCATCCGGAAAAAGTCACAGTGACAACTTTTACTTGTGTGCGAGGAGGAGGAGGAAAAAAACTGGTGAAGCATTGACCGCAAATGCACCTCCACCGCCATCACCAACACCACAACTACTCAAAGCAGTAAATAAAACCTATTACAACAACAACACATATGCATTGAAAGAGTAACAACAAAGAAACGTGCAATAATATGGAATTAAATGAAATCTGTGTAGAGTGAAGAAAAAATTTGCTATATCTCTTTGATTTGAGTGGAAAAGGAAAAGAAAAAAGCGAAAAAGAGTGGAAAATTTGAATTTATGTAATAAAAGTGAAAAGTAGGGAGCACAGCAACTGGCGTGAAATAACAGAATTCCAATACATGCATACATACATGCATATAAGTGTGATATAACTTGCACACCGTCAAACACACTCATACATTCATATGTATATATTGATGTGCAAACGTGCTAGCAAACAAAACCACTTCCCCCCCCCCCCCCCCTTCCACCCTGTTGAAAAGTGAGCTGTACGAATGGAAGGGGCACTACTCACCTCGCTCCTCAAGTAGTGGACATGGTTAGCAAAACGCGTGTAGGTGTGCGAAAGGTGGTAGCGATAAGGCAAGTGCACACATACAAACACACACACACGCGCATAGAAGTAACGTTAGCCTTGATACTCTTGTTGGCTGCATGAAAGCAAACTATTTACAGGCCTCTGAGGGGCACACAACCGACGTTTGTTTGCTATCTCCTACATACAGTTGCTCACGGAAATATTTTGCATTTGCTCTTGTGTTATGAAACTAGAAAATATCTTTGCAATATAGTCGTTTTATTTAATAAATAGTTGAAAATATAATGAAATTGTGTAAATAACGCGGTGATTTAGAAAACATCACAACGAGCGGTTGGCTAAAGTCACTGCAAGTGAGTGAGAGTGAGCAAAGGAAGTCAAATAATGAATAAAAATTTACGTGAAACGACATACAAAGTGTCTTTTTTTTTTAATTTGGTTTTCAAGAAGAAATAAACGCATATAATTTAATTTCCCGGGCAGGAATTTATATTTATTATAAAGCTAAGGACTGTCAATATGTTAAAAAAATGGGTTCGGGCAAGAGACTCAATCTTTTACCTCTATTTACAGCAATTGGTGCGGTATGTCAACAATAACTCTACGATTATTCTCTTCCAAGGCTGCAATAGTCTCAAACTTTTCTGCTTAGACAGGGCACTTCAAATAACCTCACACAAACTGTTAAAATTGTCCAATTGCACGAGAGTTATTTTTGGCAAGTTGTTTGGGCTGATCAAAGTTGGTACAAAAATTTTTGAAATAAATTTTACGTTTAACCAAAATCATTTTCAGTCCAATGAGCTTATTGCAAGACCTCTTAATACCCTCTAATATGTACCTTCCAGCTGAATATTAAATTTTATTACACATGCAATTATTTTCTGTCGATTTCTCTAAATAGATTACTGTCTATTCAAAATAACAGAAAGTCACAGTATAACCCTGTCACTGCTGAATACAAAGGGTGACCGCCACGGATGACTCGAATAAAATACAATCGAGCGGCATAGCAACACTGTAGGGTCATATATTTAGTGTAGTAAAAAGAAATCCATTATTTTTGCATGAAATTGTAGGCTATAATTTTTACTTTTCGTAACCAGCCTTATTCAATTAAGTCCAGCAATCTTTAGCTCTTGGGCAATCAAAACAGTGCTTACATGTTGTCGGACTCTACAATGTCCAATGTGACAAGACTCATAGAACATATATACATGCAATGCGAGATGCAGATAAATAACGATATCTATTGGAAAAATAATGGATTTCTTTTTACTAATTCGCAATAATTCGCCGAATATTTTCTACCAAGTCAATCGCATTGGGTTTATCTGCATGCGAAGACGCTTATATTACTTCACAGAAAATAATCCAACGGTGTTCATCCACGCCACATGCCCACGACGGGAGATAAGGCGCTAACTAAAAGTTTTCTTCAACAAATAAATTGCTTCGGTGGTTGTACGGCAAATAGTGCATACATATATGGAACCATCACCATCTAGATTAGGCACCAAAAAGTCATTAATCATGACTCCATGGCGGCCACGATAGACGAGTGGTTATTGTGTACTGCCATTCGGAAAGCCCGGTTTTAAGTCCTGGTGTCGTACTAAGATCCAAAAAATTATCGGAAAAATTAATTTAAATAAAAAATTAAGTTAATTTTTCTAATTGCGGTCTTTCCTCGGCAGGGAATGTCAACACCTAGAGGTATATTCATGACATAAAATAAAGGCTCCTCATGAAAAAACCAGCAACCGTTCGGAAGTTGGTCCCTCTATTTGTTGGAAAATCATCACAGACGCTAAAACACAAAGTTGGAGGAGAAGCCGAAAATCGCTTCAGCGATTACAAAGCACCAATTTATATATATATTATATAGCCCATTGACTGTAACATTATGGTCGGCTTCGTTTTTGAAAAAATATGGACCCCTCTACCCATAGAGAACACCGAGAAGTCAATTTTTGCGGTTGAAAAGGCGTATCAACAATATCTTGTGGATTATCATCCTTCCAAATGCGACAATTTTTGTTTATTAAAATACCCATTCAATCAAAAGTGAGCTTCATCGCTGAACCAAACTTTCTTGTTTTATGATCATTCAAACTCGCAAAAGTATCATACCTCACCAAAATCTTCCTTAAGGTGAATGATCACAGCTACAATTGTTACACGCGACGGCAGATGTACTCATTTAGGTTTTTTTACTTTTACTCAGCAGCAATATCGTCTTTGGGGATCACTGTACGGCGTCTGTGCACCTAATGTACAAGAATAATAATGTTGCGTAAATGATCGCCGATTTTTCGAATTATCAACTCTGCTGGGCGATTATGTCGACGCAGCAGGCGATGGTAATAAATTTACACGATTTGCCAAGACTTACACGGAGTAAGTCTGTTCTTAATGAAATGGCAAGCCAAACTCTCAATACGTGTATGTATTGACTCATTGAAAACTGCACGTATAGAAAAGCACCCTTTATCAGTTCCAAATAAGTCACATTCAACAGTACAGAGCGAAAGTAACGGACAGAAAAATTCAGAAACTGGCTAGTAGTTATGATCTCCATGGTCGTTTAGAACTCAAAAACCGGCAATTTTCAATATCAATAAAGAAAAAAGCCTTTTTTTGCCACAAAATACGTAGAAAAATATTTTCACTTTTATAAAACAGTAATTTTTAATGACGAAAGAAAATAAATCCTTTTTGAAATCATACCACAATGAGTAATATGTTCTATATGCATCTGAAAAACTCAAAGCTCAAAGCTCAAATTTAGACGCATAACTCATTCTAAGGATGCTTTAAGCACAGAACGAAAAAATCAATACCGGAATCTATCCCAAAGCCATATCTCAAAACTTTCCAGAATAATGGTTGCCAAGAAAATTTTAAAATAATTTTTTAAATGAATTTTAGTCATAGGCAAAAAACTTTTTTTGACCGGAATTCAAATTTCTTTAATATTCGTTATGATTATATGGGTTACTAAAACTTTTGTCCACTTTCAAGCGAATATTTCTGTGAGAGTTAGCCATAGTTGCAAGAACAAGAAGCTGTAAAATAAAATATATCTAAAAAGAATTACGAAAATCTAAGATTTTCTTAACCATCTCCATATGCAAAATACTTCTGTGCGTAACTGTACATGTGTGTACGTGTATGTGTGTTTGCTTGCGTGCTAAAAACGTGCTGTCAACGGAGGTCGTAAGCGAGTGCAAGCACTATTGGTCTAATTGCTGCAGCGCTGAGCTACTTTAGAACTGAGTTTTCTTCGTTTTATTTTTAATTCTGCTTCGTAAGCTAATTGGCGATAAAAAAATGTGAAAAGTGAAATATTATATACATATTAAAAGTGCAGAAAAAATATTCGTAAAAGATATTTATATAATTTAAATAATAATTAATTTTAAATTCAAGTGTACCAAAGAAATATCAAAAATTTCCTTGAGATTAAAGAAAATAAATAAATAATAAATCAATCGTGCAAACTTGGTTTGTTAGATAACGCTACTATCGATCGATTTGTGTGTGTGCGTGTGAACGCAATGCTCCACGCATTCGCGAATCAGTGTTACTCATCCGACATGGCGTGCTCACTTATTTATAACCAAAAAAACCAACCAAAGCAATAATTTTTTTCCTTTAAATCTGTGCATTCGCAACGTGACCGTATATCTGCTGCTGCTGCTTAAGTGTTATTGTATTATTGTGCTTGTGTGAGCCTGTGTTTGTCTGTTTCCGTCGCAAAAGTCTCTATGTAACTCTGCAGGGCATTCGGAAACGTGAGAAGTTGATTAATCTTCTGAAAATCCAAAACGATAATAAGTAGAGGCCTTTGGAATTTAAAAAAGTAGCGCAGATGTTGCGCGTAGTCTAATGTTTACATATAAATTTGTGTGCTGAAGGGAAATCACAACAAATAACCTGAAGCTAGCACCAATATGGAAAAAATTAACGAAAGAAGCTTAGAAATAGATGGGAAACGACCAAGAAAATAAAATAAAAATATTATGAATATTTTGGAGTTACAGCACAGTATTTGCAGCATTTTAACACCTATCTAAGAGAGCATCTTTTTTTATTTATTTAAATACTATATTTATTGATGATTAAATATATTTATGTAAATAATTTTTATAAAAATGTTGCCTGCTTAAAAATATTGCAAGAACAATAAATAAAAACTATCTTCGGCCATCTTTATACCTTTCACGATCATAACAAATTTATGGCATTTCATTTTAGGATTAAAGATTAAATTTTCTCTCTGGAAAATTGGTTGTAGCCCCCTCCAATGATGAATTTTCCGCATTGAATTTTTCAATACAAAATTTCATACTCTTAGATGGCTTTTTGATGGGTTTTTGCTTTGGGCAAAAGTTCGAGAACGAACTGACCTTTTTTCGGTCTTGACGAAACAGAATGCCCACACTGCGCTCTCGTGCCTTAGTTTCGACATAATATCTACAAGCTCATGTTTCGTCGGGCACACCTTGTGTGAAATTTCAAAGAAAAAATCGATCTTTTTTCCTATTTCGGTAGAGTAAACCTTTAAAAATATCATATTAAAATTTAAAATCGATATCTCAAATTTCACTGTATATTCTTGACACATGTATAAACATATTCTTAAAATTTTGAAATAATTGATGAAGTATTTTTATAATAAAAATTCCCAAAAATCACCTTTTTTTAGGACCTTAAAGATATTCTTTGATTTCTTGCACAAAAATTTTATATAAATACTAATTGATTGATATGTACAAATATACGAAAAACTTAAAATTATTATATACACAAATAGTGCAAATAATATACGAAAAATATAAATATATATGGGCATAAATATCTCATTATATGAATATATGAGGCATTGAGAAAATTCCTAATAACAGCACAGTCATAAACTTCAAATGCCATAAATTTATCTGCAAGCAAAACACGAGTTAGTTTAGTTTGGCCATGATGATGATGATCGATTTTTTACACCTAAATGGAAAAAATATTTATTATAAGAAGCAAATATTTTTTAATTAATGCATATTTACAATTTCTTTTCCTAGCATAACATTTTGAGTACAGAACATGTTTGTTTTTAGTATAAAATTATATGTCCTTGAGTGCGTTTGCTCTCACTCTCACTCACACACTTCACTCTCTGTTAGACACAAGGCAGGCTAATCTCTTTATGCGACCGTATTAAATAACTATGTTTGTATGTCGCGCAAAGTTGACTGACATTAATTTTGTATGCATGGTTGTATGTATACACATTGTTCTTATATGTTAAGCCACAAAATTTCATTTTACGTCACGTCACGTCACATCAGACAAACTGTCAAGCTCTTAATCTGGCTTAGCAAGGGTTTGTCCTCAATGCAACATGAGAAATGCATGTAAGCAAAGTCGGAGGCAGCAGGCAGAGGCGGCACACATTTGCATTGTTTGTGCTATTGTTTCAAATGTATGTTGTCTGCTAAGAGTGGTTGAAGAACACGTATTTAAATTCACATTTGTGAAGAGAAAATCAATTGTTTTACAAGCATTAAAAATACTGCTAAGTTTGTTATTTTTGTAAAAAATTTTGGAAATAACAATAATAATATTTAATAATTATCATTATTAATATTTATTTTATGCATTTGAAAGTGTTTTAAAAGAGTATTGACTACTCAGATATGCCAAATACATATGTTCAACGTTGTGGGCATTACTGCACCTAAAACTATGCTACAAAATTTAATTCTTCTTTTAAACTTAGTTTTTTTTAAATATGCAATTTTTACTTTTTTTCTATTTTTCAAATAATAAAACACAGTTATTGATCATATTATATAACACATATGTATGCATACATATATACTAAATAAGTTAGAATTTTCCAAAATATGATTTCTTCTCTTACTCACTTCTACCACGCAAGGATTTTCTGCTCAACTTTTTATGATTACGCCACAATTGCATGAACTAGGTCAAGAAACAGAAAAAACATAAATAGCAAAAAGAAAAGTAATTGAAAGGCAAAAAATAAGAAAAATAAACTCAAGTATAAGCAGAAAATACACGGCAATGAGTATAAAGATAATCGTTGGTAAAGCTTAAGCAAACGCAATGACAAACAAAAGTCACACAAACACACAGCCAGCTCATAAAATACAATACATAAAAGAAACATGAAACATAAGAAGACTTAAAAAAGCAAAAAAAAAAATAATAATAATTTAAAAATACTTTTGCGGAAAAATATAGAGAATAGGAAATGAAAATAGCTGTGAGTAATAGTTGAAGGAAATACAGTACCCAGAGGCATGTGCTCATCTATCATTCCGCATATCAATTGTAGTGAGAAATATATAAAGCCGACTATGCATATGTGTATTGTATGTGTTTGAGTATTTATGCATTTTAAGATTATTTTATTTTCATAAATCAGTATTCGAGTATAAAACTAATTGAAAAAACTATACTACGACACGCTAAGAAACTAAGCAAACCAAATAAGCGTTAACGCCTGAAAATATGCAAATGAAAAATCATCATATGTACATTCCTGTTATGAGTTTTTAGTGTAAATTAATTATTTAAGCGTTTATAGCTCAACTTTTTTCTTAATTTTTTTTTTAATTGTTGCACTGACTTTTTGTAGCCTCTCGACTGCCCGCACCAAAGAACTTGACCCGTTAAATGGCATTTATGGTGCCATGTGTATGTTTATCGAATGCATTTATTTCTTTTCCCCCTCCTCTCAACTCCATCAGTCAAGTGCTATAGTTCTCAATGTCACTGCTTTTGCTATTTAAAATTGTATTGTGCCTTTTTTTATATAAATCAATATACATTTACATAACAATATACCGTGAACCATTTGCTTTTAGCTGATATTTCAAAAAAGCTTTCAAGGTAAAATAATTTCATCAAATTAGTTAACAAAGAGTTAGTTTTTGAATATTTAGATACTCTAATTATAGTTTTTCTTAATATTTTTTATTGAGAAGGATGAAACCTTGTTTAGAAGTTCACGCAACTGGGAAAAGTTTTTGACTGCCATTCACGACTCCCGGTCTTAGACCAAGTATCCTGTGGGTAGCCAACAATCATCATTTCGGAGGCGAGCTGAAGTGAGACCACCTTAGATGACGACTCTCGCAAATGTTTTAAGGATCTCACGGCTTGAGGACATGGATCTGGAATGTCCAGTTTTTTAATTGGGAAGGAGCCGCTGCCGAGCTAGTTAATGCCCTCGAAAGAATAAAGACTGGCGATGGACAGGACAAAGACAGAAATGAGTAGATCCTTATGGAAATCAGTACAGCGGCTATATGAAGGGGAGCAAATATGGTGTTGGATTTTTGGTGGTCGAGAGACTCCGTTACCGAGTATTAGCATTCACTACTTTAGATGAACGTCCCGCTACAATACGCATAAAAAAAAAAACTAACTCCAGCTTTTAAAGTTTTCGATGCTGTATCAGATGGGGCAGCAGAGGATCGGAAAGGCCTCCACTCCGTTGGAAAGACCAGGTTGAGAAGGATCTGGCTGAACGTGGTACCTTCAACTAGCGTCAAACAGCGAAAAAAAAGAAATGAATGGCGCAATGTTATAAACTAAAGAAGAAGAAGATTTTAATGCTAGATTGGGCAAAGATGGTATTGTATTTTCGTCACAACAGTCGAGAAATTCTGCTTCCATTATGAAACACTCCCCTTGACGTACGTACACTCCAAGGATCCATTACCGAGTCGGATAACTTGTAGTAGCAGAGATACGTACCCATCTCTGTGCAGTGGAGAGTACATGTGAACACCCACGTCGAAAAGCTTCAGTCACAACAAACGGCCTTACGATTTTCTACTGGCATCTCAAATTTCTGCCTACTGCCGGTGCCAGAAAAAGAGCTGAAACGATGGGGAATGTTGTGCTGCTGTGGAGAGAAAACAGGCTGCCGACCTCACAACCTTGTGATCGACTTCAACACTTCAGCTGAAGCGGGAAGCAAAAGGCATTTACAGACGACAAAAGAGAGAAGCCGAAATGCATGAGAATGAAGAGCATGAGTAGCTGGCCGACAAGGCTAATAGTTGCGGTGACTGAGAACATATCAAAACCGAAGCATATTCAATTTAAAGCAACACCTATTGGCAAAGAATGATTCTGCATTGGTTTTCAACGCTGTGCTTTGCAATAAATGAAGCGGTGTACGTAGCGGGTATTTTCTCTCACCTTGCTTTTGCTTATTTTGCAAGTAACCCACGCAGATGGTGGATAAAAATCGGAAAAGGCAGCATTTATATTTTTCTCTCGGTCAACATCAACCTTTATCGGTCGGTATGAATATATCTACGCCGCATTAGTAGCAACTAGGCTATGAACGCATAAAATTCAAGTTATTTCGAGAAAAAAATATGTTCACTAGATTATTAGAGAGATTGCTCAAACAAGTAGTCATGCGAATTTAACCGCTCTCTCAGTTGAAATCTTCAAACATATTAAGACCTTTCTCAAAAAAGACTTGAGTATTAACCAGCTCGTTAGCACCTTCACTCTCGTAAAATGTACTCGCAGATTTCAGTAGTTGAAGAAAGAGAGAGAGAGACAGAGTGGCAAAGAGCTAAGCTTGTCTGGAACACAGCCGATTTTTTTATACACATTTTAATAAAATAAAAAATATGTACTTCGTTTAAAACTAAAAACACTCCAAATACGTGTTCCTTTGCTGCTATGTTTAAGGTATTACTAGGTCAGGAAGATTGGTGGCGTTAGTTGAAGAAACCTAAAAGCCAAAGATTTTACTTTAAGACAAAATTTTTTGATTCCATAAGAGCTTTTTTTTGCATTTGCCAAAAATTTCAATACTTTTGACGCAATCTGTTTTGAAAAAAGGTTGATTGATTTCGAATATTTTGTTGTTGGGCTGAGAGGGACTGAGATGCAGTCACAGCAAAGTAAGTAAGGAGATTGATGACAAGTGGGTTGAAAAGAGTAATGTGTTAGTAGTGGCGACTGGTAAGTTACCGCTGACAGCCAGTAGAGGGTTCATGTTGCCTCAAAGGAAAACTTTTATAAAAGTGACTTATGACGCCTTCACAGTGATACAGATGACCACAAATAGTTTTCAACAAAACGCGATAAATGCAAGCTCTATCCGAACACAGGTGGTTTTGGAACGAGCGATAGGAATAAAATCTGAAAATTGCGTATTGAATAATACTTCACTTTTTCGCCTAAAAACTAATTAGAAGGCTGCTCGAAAAATCCATACCATTAAATGTAATAATATTAAATAAAAAATTAAAAAAATAAATGCAGTGCTCAAAAAAATATATTTAATCACTTAAAGTGTTTGTTAAGAATATTTTCAACAAAAAAATACAATAAAAATTCTAAAAACAGGTGGTGAACTGCAAAAGAAAAATCTCACGTAATATTGCATACAAATAATTTTGCATAATCTTAGGCGCTGTGACTGTGTGTTCAACTGAAAATAAGCAAACACAAAATAAAGTTATTCAACATCAAAAACTACTTAAATAATAAATTAAACATAACAGTGTTTAAAGCAAGCAATTTTCGTAGAAAAATAAAACCAACAAAAACAACAAGATGTAAAAAAGCATAAGGAGAGCAGAGTAACAACCGCAACACGCGCCTGGTGACTGAGCTTTGGTCTACGTGCACATAAGAGCGTGAAATAAACGCAGTATCGTTGGATGGATCATGGGTAAATATAGTTGTTTCGATAATTCTTTCTAAATTCAAACAAGAAACTTGTATTCAAAAAGAAAAAAAATAATAATAATAAAAATGATATATTTTCAAAATTCAATAATACCAAAAAAAAAAACAATTTAGTAAAACGCATTGCCATGAAACGTTCAACTTTGTGTGTGTCATAAATAGCTATAACTCTCTTTCATATATATATATTCTCTTAATAACAAATATATAATTTTGTAAAAAAAATATTTAATTTTAATTGTAACTATACATTTCTCTCTCTCTACACTTGAAAGTATATTGTATATTTATAAATAATAAATGTTAAATTTTATTAATTTCTGCAAAAACACTTAAAACAAAATATATACCAAAAAATAAAACAACACAAAAATTACAAAACTAAAATACCTAAACAAAAACGAAAAAAAAACATCTGCGGCAGGTAAATTAACAAATACATATTTAATATTAAAATATATATTTAAGCTTCAGCTAAAATTGTGAATTGGTTAAACCATTGATCATGCCATACGCAAAGCATTTAAAAAAAAAATATTACAAAAATTACAATCGTTATGAGTTCAAAATTTTTAAGCGCTTGTTTTTCAACATTCTCACTTGCTTTTTAATAATTCTTCATTAAAGTTTAAAAAAAAAATAGTTAAATTTACGATGTATTATCCAATTTAAATAATCTCGTTACTCATGCACCGTACATTTTTTAAACAATACTTTTTTTAAAGTTACTCCTTTTTTTTAATCAACTTAATTTCTATTTATTTTACCTCCTTTAAATGCAGCATTTGCGCCCATTTTCACTATTTTCACTGATTATTGTTTTTCATTTTATTAGATGCAGAAATTTTATGCTTTCGGCTTCTGATTTCATAAAACCTCTAGCATACTTTCAGGCTTAATTTTATTTATTAACATTCAAGCATTGAACACTTAGGCTGCAACCCACAGTGGATCGTTTCCTGCTGACTTCAGTTCCTTCACTATCACCGAAAACCACAAATTAATTTGGTTCGTTTATTGTGGACAAATAAAGCATTTTTTAATGATAAAAATACATCATTCAAAGTATTGTCCGACCGCAGCGACTACTTTTTCCCATGTATCTGGGTACTTTTGAATAGCACCCTTAAAAAAATTGATCCTCTCTGTCTTCGATACAATCATAAAGCCATTTTTTCGCTTTTTTCAAAAGACCCGAACCGTTAACCCTTCAAATCGTTTTGCAGCTGTCGGGAGAGCCAGTATTCTGAAGAAGATTACAGTGGCTGGGATAAGGATCCCTAATACAACGCTTTCAGGTGTTCGTTGAAGGCACGTGGATCTGAGCGTTTTCAAAAAAAATTTCAATGCAAAATCTGGTCATGCTGTTTGGCCGCTTCTGGCCATTTTTTACGCAATGCGCGGCTCAAGTTGTAGTCGCTAACGTTTTGCATCAATGATTTCGTCTGCTCTTAACAGCACATAGTACACCACACCCGCCTCGTACCACCGCATGCAGAACTGAACTGTTGTTATTTTTCTTTGGTGTCGATAGTATTGTATTTGTTCTTCACGGGCTTATCGTTGATTATCCACTTTTCAGCTCCACTCAGGATCTGGTCCAAAAATCCTTTACTTTGATATCTTTCATAAAGCAGTTTCATAGTAAATTATCTTTCGCTTTCAATTCGTATGGCACATAATCTCCGTGCCTGTGATAACATCAAAATTGATTTAATCAAATGAAAATTATTTGCTGATTCACTTCCAACCAAGATATAGAGCGGGCTTTCAACAACTTTTTACTAAGTGTAGTTACAGCTGCACTGTGGAGTATGGATGTCGACACCCCATTTGTGGATGTCATCAAGCAGGGTTATAAACCCGAACGTGGAAGGATATTAAGTATCCAAATATGTAGACAGCGGCACTTCAGAGGATGGAGTCCTCTCCCGATTGGTCTCGGGCCTCACAGTAAACTCGCCATTAGCGCTAAAGGAATGGAATGGAAGCAAATCCAATGCCTACGCCGATGATATCGCCATTACATGCCTCTGTTAGTTAGTTATTATAAACCCTCTGTGATTTGACGCAGGAAACACTCAAAAAGGCAACGTCCTGGTCTACCCAATTTAGCTTCTGTGTCAACATAAACAAAGTAGAACTAGTGCTGTTTGCAAGGAGCTGCAAGATCTCCGCTATCAGTCCACCAGTACTGCATGGCGTTCAACTTAGTCTGGTGACTTAGCTGCTGGGTAGGTATTAAATGGGGTCTGAGCTACAAAATTTGTCGATGGATCAACACTTCAGTGGAGGATAAGGAGAGATTACGAGATATATAAATCCCCTTAATACGAATTCTGACGGACCACTGTCTGACTGTACTACACTCGGAAAAACTAGAGGCTCTCTACAATAGACATTGCAGAAGCTGCAGAGATAAAGAGGAGAAGGAAACGTTCACTCATTTCTTATACGAGTGCCATATTTTAAGCCGGACTAAGTTTCGGAATTTCGGTGCCTATCTGCTGTACGGTCTATCGAAGATAGGCGGCGTCAAAGTCATTTATCTAATGAGGTTCATTGGTTCATGGCTGGATAATGCATCACAATGGATCTTAGTCAGGCCTAAGTGAGTTCGATACGATAGATCGGTACCCATCACAGCTTAACCTAACCTAATTTCCAAAGATTCTGCGATTTGTTTTTGCGTTTGGCACGGATCTTGCACCAGTGTAGCCTCTAATTCCTCATTTTCAGTCTTTTTGGGTTGGCCACGACACGCTTTGTATTCGACGCTAAAACCACCAGTTTCGAAGCGTCAAAACCACTCTACGCTTCACAAGCATTCGATGAACTTCAGATGCACTCTTCTTTCAATTGAAATATAAAATCTAAATTTTCCGTATATGCTTTGTACTTAACGCAAATCTGGACATTTACGAAAAACCAAAGAAACAATGTGGTTATCAGAAACAGACACTGAAGAAATACTAAATATATTTGTGAAATCTTTCCAGCGAAGTAGGATATCGCTTCCAGGATCGGCCACAAGTTGCAGATGCAGCCATCTTTTGAGAATGGGCTGAACTAATTTGAACCCGCAACATTTAAAAATTATATCAAGACTTTTATAAAAAAAATATTCAATTCGTTTAGTCTTTAATAATGTTATTACCTTAATATCAGGTGTAGTGAAAAGTAATCCATTATTTTTCCAATTGACGGCGTTATTTATCTTTATCTCGCGTTGTATTAATCCGATCGGGTTCCGCTAGACGGCGTTAGAAAGATGGAGTTTCGTACTTTACCGATTGGCTTGGGATTGATTGATTCAGTTTTGTGTGGGCGTGCGTCAAAGATGGACACTAGCAAAGGGAAAATACGCTATATTTTGCAGGCCAACCAGGCGGATGAAAATGTGAATAGCGTCGTAGGACTGTTACAGCCACTCACGCACAATTTTGGTTTCATTCCGGTCTTTTTAGTCGTTAAAATCATGGACATTGTACATTCCGAAAGTCATGTAAGCACTGTTTCGATTGCCCAAGAGCTAAAAATTGCACGAAAAACCGTTGAGAACCATTTGAACAAGGCTGGAAACGAAAAGTAAAAATATAACCATACAATTTCATGCCAATATAATGGATTCCTTATTACTACACCTCAAACATGTTAGGTTCTTATATATTTCACTTTTTATTTGTCCAACTGCCTTAAATTTAGGTTACCTATATTAACCAACCCACAATAAAATTCAGTTTAAAATTTTATTTATTTAACACTCAGCGAATTATTTTCGGTAACCAGTAACCTTTCCATATTGTGATTCAATAAATTGTGAGCCGGAAAATTGGCTTTTGGCCTTTTTGCCATCGATATTTAATTCCATTATACATACAAACGTTTATATATTATTTTACATTTATTGCATTAAAGCAAATTTTACTTTCGAAGTATGCCACCGCAAGTGTGTACACACTCAAATACATACATCCCTCTCTTCTTGTTATCTACTTCTTTATATACTATCACTCTTCTGGTATCTATTTTTGTTATCTTTCACATGGAATTTAGTAACTTTTTCCTTTTCGTTTTCGCCCGCTGAGATGCCACCACAATTAGAGTGCAAAAGTGTTGGATAACTCAAGACAAACACCTACGCAAAATCATATGCCCACACGCATACATACATGCATACATAAATACAAGCTTTCATTGTAAGAAAAGCTTGCTTAAACTAATATTTTGTTAGAATTTTTACTGCAAATGTTGCTTGCGGCAAAATCACTCTCTCACGCCAACCAACGACCACCCACAAGAAATGCCCACATACACGTACAACGCACACCCAACATGTGGGCGCGGGAAACATTTTATATTCGTACATATCGACATACATACACACATATAAATAAGTGCATGCGCACAAATTATCAACAAAAAGTTTGTTACTTGCGTACAAACATACATATATTGGTACATTGTAATGTATTTTCTTTAAATACGAACGTATGTATGTATGTATGTATGTAAATAAATATCCTAAATATTTGCACAATTTTCCCTAACAACTGTTGCATGTTCGTTTGCCACGCGCTCAACATTCTCATGCATATTTATGTATGTTTGCTTCTCAAAAGTATGTATATACATATGTCTGTATTTGTTGTTGTACGTTTACATACCATTTATATAACATAAATTTGTAAGTTTTCTGTAATTACTTTTGTGTACATACTCGTCTATACATATATGTTCCACTTCTAATTATTCGCTTGTCGTCGCTGCATGTATGCGTCATTAATGTCGTGGCGGTTGATGTACTGTTATTTCTGCGAATTTGTCATCATTAATTTGTTGCTGGTAATTGCTAACAAATATTAATGTTATTTATTGTTATTTATTACTAGTGGGGACGCCATAGGCGAGTGGTAAGCGCTGAGTGCTGCCATTCGGAAGGCCATAGTTCGAGTCTCGTCGGAGAAACATTCATATATATAT